ATATCTACCCAACCGCACCCCCCAAGAGTCAACTGACACGCAAGGCCTGCAGTGGTCGAGTCCCCAGGAACCCATGAGATTCTTAGGAATCTCAATATCACCGGAAGGAGTGAACGAGACGATAGGCCCGAACATACTAGCCAGAATCATAATTAAACTAGCAGCATGGCAAAGGGTCTACACCTCCCTATTCCGCAGAGCACTAGTGCTAAACACGTCCATCTTTTCTATGGCTTGCTACACAGCTTCCATATGGGCTTCTCCTAAACACTTCATCTCAACGCTCAAGACAAAAACAGGAGCTTACCTATGGGCAGGAGACGTTTAAAGACCAGTCAAAAAGGGTGGACTGGGCCTGATAAACCCAATGAACCTTTTTTTTTTTTTTTTTTTTTTTTTTGGATAAACCCAATGAACCAATACAAAGCTTTACAAACTAAATGGATAATCAGAATCGTCCTTCATAAAGAATAACCCCTGGATATTCAGAATCGGCCTACATGATATGGCACTGTACCAGATCACTGGATAATCTAGTGCCTTTCAAAGTCGACCGACAAATAGAAGGATATCAATGGATATTAGTGGATAATGAATAAGACATGGACTCCAAGAACAAAACACAACAGAGCCAACAACAATCAGCAGACCAACAGGGACCCCCCCAAGCAAGCAAACACTGGAAAACACTCGTTAATCACCGGAGAGAAGCCTTTTTGGAAGAAGTTAGAAAACCAAAAATAAATAGGTCCTTCGGGACATCCGTTAAAATTGGAACGATACAGAGAATGAAGGTTAGCATGCCCCCTGCACTTTCAAGGATGACACGCATAAATCGAGAAATGGTCCAAACAAAAAAAACAAAAAAAACAAAACACAACAAAACACAACAAAACAAATATAAAAAAAGAAGTACTAACTTACAAGACAAGCGCTCTTTGGAAATTCACTTATTCTAGCAGGAAATGGCAATCCTTGGTCCTTAAACAAGCAAGGGCAGAAGATGGAGAAAGTGGGTGGAAAAAGGAGCCTGGAAAATAGAGCACATCTGGAAAGAAGAGGAGAAGAGATGGATAAAAGCCTCTTGAAGTTCTCTGAACTAAGACAACAACTCAAAGGAAGCCATAACGAGAAAAACCTGGAACCGCTAAATTGGAAAGCACAGCTAAAAGGAGAAATCAAATGGGAGTTAGCGGATTGGACTACGAATAAAGGACATGCGATGCCATCAATAGCTCTCAAGTACGTAAAACGGGTGAGCAATCAGAGTAACTAAGCATAATTCGCAGTGCACGAACTGCTGGACAAACACAAAAGTGACAAAACATTAACAAGGGTAGTAGAGGAAAGGCTGGAAAGCATAACAACTTTGGAATTCAACCTAAATAACACGAGGAAAATAAGGACGTGGACGCAGAAAGAAAGAGTACCATCAACTAAGGAAATAACCCCGAAGAATGTGATACTATTCAGACCAGACAGGGACATTAGGGATTTAGAAATAGACCCAGCAGAATGGGGATGGTACGTCAGACTGGGTAGGGGGAGGGCAAAGAAGATGGCCAATTTGCAAGACTACACAGTGACAACAGGGTGCATGATAAGGAACAAGGCAACGGACCCCCGCCCGGTCATAGCACAAACATGGCTGGGCCTCTGGAATCCCACGCGATTACTACAGCAGTATAAATCCCACAAGAAGATTCGAAGTGGAATCACTTGTTTATTGCTTAATTGAATGTTTGATGTTCTCACACGGACAAAATATGGGAAGCAGTCAAATCAGTTTCTGCCAAGATTTCCCAAAATTTATTCCCAATGCAAACAGACTACCTACTTTCAGCGAGAGTCAAATAAGGAAATATGAAAGAGGAAGAAACGGCCGTAGCTGATCTGATGCGAAGGGCGGCACTATGGACGATTTGGAAATCTGGAGTCAACAACCAGACAACAACAAGCGAGGAGGCCTGGAAGGAGATGGAGGATATCGTAGAAACGGAAATCAGGGCTCAATGGAAAACAGAACTAAGGAAGCAAGAAAAGTAAACAGACCCCAAAAGAAGAAGAGAGTCGAGTCAAAAATCCTTCGAAGAAAAATGGTTGCTAGACAAAAAAATAGCTAAGACAAATAACTCTTTCGTAAAGTTCCAAGATTGGGATAGCACAACCAACTGACAACCACGTCAGATAGAGAAGGGACACCTTTGACAGAAGATCAATATCAAAGAGGTTGGGAAGCAAGAATCACTCAGAAATCTAGGGAATGAATGACACATATAGACAAACACTTGGGAAAAAAAAAAAAAAAAAAAAACACTTAGAAGTTAGAAGCTAGAACCCGATAGTCGACCATGAAATCTTAGCAAACATGCAGAGGAAAAGATGTGGTTATCAAGAAGGACAGATCTTCAGCAAAAGCACAAGACCCGCACACGACCTCAAAGATAAAGCAACTAGAACATAGAAATCTGAAACAGATAAAAATCCCAAGACCACCAAACCTACAAATCAACAGGTAACCGATCAGTTAGAGGAAACAACCACTAGGGTTTAGGGTTTAGCTAAGACCAAAAATACAGCAGAAATAACAACACCGCAAAATTACAATGACAAAAGGCTTTAGGGTTTAGGCTTCAGGGCTTCAAACGCTGAAAATAGGGCAGCAGATCCTAACACCCAACGTTAGGTACGGCAACATAGGAACGCTAACATTTCAACACAACCTTACACGTAAGAAACCCCCTTCCCGACCGCAATATCGCTCGACAACAACCCAAACCCCCTCCACCGATAACTCCCCCCCTTTTCAAAACACATAAACACAGCGGAGCTACCCACACAGAGCAGGAAGCCAAAAACCCAGCCCCTATCCTACACCCATCCTTGCAATCCCAACACAGCCGGACAGCAAAGACAGGAATATAGCCATAGATTAAAAGCAGGGCCACTAGTGGGCGTAGGATCCAGCAGGAGAAGGAAAGAGACGACTCTTAATGCAAGGCGAGAACCTCCTCCGGGGTTTTATGGCTACTGCTCAAGGAGGACACTAGTCAAGGGACGTTATAAATCAGGAAGTAGGATAAGGATTCGAAGACTAGCAAAGGCACCTGTGTAGCATCGTGTTCGGATTCGGTGACCGAACCCGAACGTTCGGGACCGAACGCGAACGAGCGCCGAAAGTTTCCGAACGCGAACAAAAAAAAAAAAAAAAAAAAAAAAAAAAANCCAAAAAATCTGAAAAAAAAATATATGTGATGTAAAATAATAATACAAACAACTTTTGCCTTGGAGGTATGCTCAAATTCGTAACGAAACTCGAGTTAAAAATCAAAAACCAAAACAAAAAGTTTTTTTTTTTTTTTTTTTTTTATATGTTCGGCCGAACACGTTCGGGTGGCGTTCGGCCGAACACCCAAACATGTTCGGACGTTCGGAAAAGCTCCGAACATGTTCGGTGTGCTACACACGGCACAGCTACCAAGTCAGTACGAGGTAAGAAGCAGCATGCATGGATACAGTAGGTCATACCAACAGTTCTAGCAGGCAAGGAATATCCGACAGTCAAGAGTACTGAGAGGAACAGGCTGGTCAAGATCCAGATAGACAAGCTACAAGCTCCAAGTCATAGGAAGGACAGACTAGCAACCAAGGATAGAAACAACTCTTTCACGCTAACTTAGGCAGGAGTGAAGGGTGGTACATCCTTCCTTTCGGAAGTAATCGATGCCGCCCTTCAGGCCTTCCCACCATAAGGGGGAGGAGTGTGTGTGAGCGCTATTCGTAACTCTTTTTGACTTGCCGGTGGATTAGGAATCGGACTTATGCTCCTCGGAATGGAAATGGAGTTAGAACCCTAAGGTTCTGTTTAAAAAAAAAAATCCTCATTTTCTCCTTGAGGAGAGATTCTGTGCTCTTCTGAGAGGCTGGCGTCGTGCTTGAGTGAAACAGAGGACTCATTTTCGTTCCACCTGCTAGCGGCAGGTTCAGCACAGAGAACTGTATAAGCACCATCCTCAATTTCCCACGTTGTGGTACTGATCGCTTCCAGGCTCGGCAAAATTCAAATTTACGCTTGCACATTTAGCCTCGGGCGTACGGGTGGCCAGTGTGGCTATGCCTGCACAAATTGAATAAGATAAACATATCACACTTATCAGTTGAATATTCTGGGTCTAAGCATATAACCTCTCTCTCTCTCTCTCTCTCTCTCTCTCTCTCTCTCTCTCCCCCCTCTCCTCACCCCGTTGTGTGTGTGCAATTTTCTTTTCTTCATCTTCTTCATCTTGAACTCTTCCTGCTTGTGATGAATTTCATTCTTCAAAACTGCAAAAACATTAATCAAAACTAGTTCAACCTCCTTTTCTGGGAGCTATGACATCCTTTTTTGTGGTAACTACAGGAATTTTACAAAATGATTTAGAAAGGTTTATTGCTAGTAAAGTGAGACATGGTCGTTGATCGCATACAATTTGACTTTTTCAATTGTATATTCGTCGATATTTGAAGGCCACGAAGTGGGAGAGCCTTCATATCCTCCCCTGTCCTCCTCGAACGCCCTCCTTCCTCGTTCCTCCTCCCTCTTGTCATGTGCCACTTGATTCGTTTTTGTTTCATCCTGTTCCCGTCCTCATCATCCTCCTTTCTCCCTCCTCCTCCTCCCGACAGCCGAACACAATGTTTTTGTTTACTCCAGTTCCCTCCTCCCTCCTCCTCCTCCCTCCTCCCTCCTCCCTCCTCCCTCCTCCTCCTCCTACTCGTCCCCCTCCTTCCTCTTCCTTTCTCCCCTTTCCTCCTTCCTCCTTCCTCCTTCCTCCTGTCCTCTCCCATCCTTCTTCCTCCTCCTCCTCCCTCCTCCCTCTTGTCACGTGGCACTTGCGACAGCGGAACACAATGTTTTTGTTTACTCCAGTTCCCATCCTCCTCACCCTCCTCCCTTCTCCTCCTGCTCCTACCACGCGTTCCTCCCTCGTCATCCCCCTCCTTCCTCCTCCTTCCTCCTCCCACTTGATTTGCTTTTGTTTCATCCTGTTCCCCTCCTCGTCATCCTCCTCCTTCCTCCCTCCTCCTCCCGACAGTGGAACACTCCCACTTTATTTGTTTTTGTTTCATCCTGTTCCCGTCCTCGTCATCCTCCTTTCTCCCTCCTCCTCCTCCCGACAGCAGAACACAATGTTTCTGTTTACTCCAGTTCCCGTCCCCGTCATACTCCTCCCTCCTCCCTCCTCCCTCCTCCTGCTCCTACTCGTACTCGTCCCCCTGCTTCCTCCTCCTTTCTCCCCCTTCCTCCTTTCTCCCCCTTCCTCCTTCCTCCTTCCTCCTTCCTCCCTCATCCTTCTTCCTCCTCCTCCCTCCTCCTCCCTCTTGTCACATGGCACTTGCGACAGCGGAACACAGTTTATATTTAATCCAGTTCCCATCCTCCTCACCCTCCTCCCTTCTCCTCCTGCTCCTACTCCTCGTTCCTCCCTCGCCATCCCCCTCCTTCCTCCTCCTTCCTCCTCCCTCCTCCCTCTTCCTCCCTCTCCCTCCTTCCTCCTGTCGCATGCCTCGTGGCACACCATAACATAATTTATTTTCTTCCATGTTCTCATTCTCGCCATCTTCCTCCCTCCTCCTTCCTCCTCGTCCTCCTCCCTCCTCTCATCGCGGGATACGTGATGCAAATTATTTTTTCTCGTTCTCTTCATCCACCTCCTACTTCCTCCTCCATCCTCCTCGCCATTCCTGCTCCCTGCTATTGTTGCTGGCATGTGATTTGTTGCATGACCAGGTCCTCCTCCCTCTTCCTCCTCTACCTTCCTCTTCATATCACCATGTCCTCCTTCCTCCTGCCTCTTGGTCCCACCTCGTGCTCCTTCCTCCATCCCCGTCATTCTTCCCTCCTACTTCCTCCTCCATCCTCCTCGCCATTCCTCCTCCCTGCTATTGTTGCTGGCATGCGATTTGTTTCTTGACCAGGTCCTCCTCCTCCCTCTTCCTCCTCTACCTTCCTCTTCATATCACCTTGTCCTCCTTCCTCCTGCCTCTTGGTCCCACCTCGTGCTCCTTCCTCCATCCCCGTCTTTCTTCCCTGCCCCCTCATCCTTCTTTCTACTCTCCTCCAACCTCCTTCCTCCCTCCCACCCCATCCTTACCCCTCCTCCCTCCCCCTTCATTCTCTTCATCTCACCTCGTCCTCCTCCAGCATGGGGAGGAAGGGGCAGGAGGAATCCTCCTTCATCCTCCTCCCTCCCTCCTTCCACCCCACCCTTCCCCCTCCTCCCTACCCCTTCATCCTCCATCTCACCTCCTCCTCCTTCCTACTGCCTCTTCATCTCACCCCGTCCTCCTCCCTCCTGCCTCTTCATCTCACCTTGTCCTTCTTCCTACTCCTCCTTCGCCCCGATCCTTCTTCCTACTCCCTACACCCTCCTCTTCCTTCCTCCTTCCTCCTTCCTCCTTCCTCCACCTTCCTCCCCATCCTTCTTCCTCCTCCCTCTTTCATCCTCCTCCCTCCCTCCTTCCTCCCCGTCCTCCTTTCTCATCCTCATTCCCCATCCTTCTTCCTCCCTCCTCGTTCATCCTCCTTCCTTCCTTCCTACGTCCTCATCCTCCTCCATCCTCCTCGTCGTTCCTCCTCCCTCCTATTGTTGCAGGCATACAATTTGTTTTTTCATCTTGTCTACCTCCTCCGCATCCTCCTCCCTTCTCCTTGCTCCTCCTCCTCCCTCCTATTGTTGCAGGCATACGATTTGTTTTTTTATCTTGTTAACATCCTCCGCATCCTCCTCAGTCTCCTCCGCCTTCCTCGTCATCTCATCTCATCCTCCTACCTCCTGCCTCTTCCTCTCACTTAATTGTCCTTCCTCCCTCCTCATTCATCCTCCTTCCTTCCTTCCCATTGTCGGGCGGCTCCATCCTTATCCACCCTTACTTCCCTGATTTTTGCACACAGTGTCCTATACAAGTAATCTAATTAGACAAAATCGACAATTTACTGACTGACATTTTTAGGGATTCATGGATTGTGGCCATACTAAAAGGTTACTTCAGCCTCATATAAAGACAACTAAGGGGGGCTATGACAGGCTCGTAATTGAGATGCGCTTGGGATCAGTGCATGGGTATGTGAATGGACTTGACACACCAAGGGTGGAACCTAGGACCGACCCTGAGTGAGCAGGACTGGACTGAAGCACCGAGGACCGGGGCTAACGAGCGAAGGACCAGCCTAAAGCGCGGAGGACCAGTACCAATTTGCTAAGGACCAGCCTAGGGTACGCAGGACCGCCATAAAGCACAAGGACCAGCCTAATGGGTGGAGGACCAGGGTCAATTCGCCGAGGACCAACCTAGAGCCTGGACGACCGGCCTAAAGTGCGGAGGCCCAGCTTAAAGCACGGAGGACCAGTACACATTTGCAGAGGACGAGCCTAGAGTGCGGAGGACCTACCTAAAGTACGGAGGTCTGTTCGGGGGGAAATCCGGACCTCAGGCGGCCCTGATCGCCCAATTCTGACGTTAGCGATTCCTATAGGTGTAGGGATTCCGGGCCTTATGCTGTCCTAGTATCCTTTTGTCCCTGGTTTCCAGCCCTACCCTTTTAAGCTCCCATTTCAGCTTCACAGTTTTTGAAAGCTCTTTCTTTTTTTTTCCCCCTCCTCTGTAGCAGTTGCAACTGCTGCAGCTGAGGCAGCCACCCCAGCCCCCTACCCTTTTAAGCCCCCATTTCAGCTTCACACTTTTTGAAAACTCTTCCCCCCCCCCCCCAGCCCCCTACCCCCCCTCACCTTGTTTTGTTTTACTTTTTTTTTCTCTGCAGCTGCTGCACCTGGTGCTGCTGCTGCAGCCCCCCCACCTTTTTTTTAATATATATTTTTTTCTCTGCAGCTGCTGCAAGTGCTACAGCACACACCTCACCCCACCCCGGCACCCTGTTATTTTCACTTTTTCTGTTCTGTCAAAATGGCCCCAACTTTTTTTCTGGGGTTCCCCGTGCGAAGCGTGGACACCCCCAATTTTCAACTGACATGTGTGACCTCAGGATTTGCTGAAAATCAGTTGCCCGGGATCCCCAACAGCTGGGGTACCCAACGTCTGACCAAAACGTCTGCCCAGGTGATCAGGCAGCTGCTTACTGAGCTTTTCTGTTCCATTCCATCTTATTTTCGTCCTCCTCTTCCTCCTCCCTCCTCCTCCTCCATCCTTCATCTTCATTTGTCCTCCTCCACATTACTTGTTTAGTTACAAACCAGAACGTTCAAAGAACGACATAAGAGGAAACTGGTACGAAAAGAACAAAATTCGTCGATTCTTTCAACCTGCTGACGAATTTGTCTTCCCCTTATCTCCCCGCTACTGTTTACTTATGTATTCTTTCAAGCCACCGAGAAGATTTTGAATGTCCAACAAAACTTGGCATAAGCTGCTGCCCTGGGCTCAACCCACAATAATCGTGAGTGAGATCCGACAGGATACTACACGATCAGGAGGTCCAACATGTCAGGTGCAGGAAGAGAGGAAGAGAGGAAGGAGGTCCGACGTGTCCGGCAGAGGGAGGGAGAAAGGACGTGGGCATGAGGTAGGAGGTCAGGCACGTTGGCGGAGAGAGAAAAGGAGGATTGATGTCGAGCAGAGGGAGGAAAGAGGGACTGCGGTTGAGCAGAGGGAGGTCCACAAAGCTCTGGGCAGCCCTACATTTACATGCTATTCACCAAGGCCTGGGCTGCCCACAAAGGAAACTGGCAGCCACTATAGCTCGCCACGCCACTCACCAAAAATGAGAAATACAAATTGTGACGGATGAATCTCTCCATGCTCTGGCAGATAATATATTTTTCACTTCGCACAATTTGCGAGCGCCCAACCAGGCCATTTTGAAGCGGCGGCAGACAGAACGACCGCAAGATACTTTTCATTCATTTGAAAAAGCCAGTGTCAGCACAGGTTCTCTCCATTTTCAGGGACCCGCCCTAGCTATTCATTCAAATTTTCCTGTACGACATCAAAAGAAACCGGAAAAAGTACTGCTTATCGGCCACTCTCTCTCTCTCTCTCTCTCTCTCTCTCTCTCTCTCTCTCTCTCTCTCTCTCTCTCTCTCTCTCTCTCTCTCGTGAGCGTGTGCGCGCTCGCCCTTATTCAGACCGGAAAACGAAATGTGGAGAATTGAGAAAAAAACGACGAACGAAATACACTCACTAGGTCAGGCACAAAGAAAGCAGGAAGGAGCCAGGGAAGGAGGGAGGACATGAGAGATGAGGGAGAACTGAGGGGAGGACGGAAGGAGGGAAGGAGAGAGGAAGGAGGGAGGGCCGAGCGAGGGCCGAGCGAGAAGGGACGAGGCATGAATGGAGAACGGTGGGGTCGGCTCTCTCTATCTTACGTCCATTAGGGAAACAAGACAGAAGAAATACACCTCTAGGGCCGGAGCCAAGTCAGGAGAAACGTGAGAGGGTGTGCAGAGGGCTCAGAGAGGAATGAGGGGGGGAGAGCCGAGGGAGGAGGAAGGGCCGTGGCAGGAGAGGAGGGAAGAAGGGCCGAGGAGGAAGGGCTAAGGGTGGAAGGAGGGAGGGAGAAGTGAGGGGTGAGGGAAGAACGAGAGAGGGAGATGTTAGGGCCGAGGGAGGGGAGAAGGGCCAAGAGAGAAGCAATGGTCGAGGAAGTGAGGAAGGGAGGGAGGAGGCAGGGCCAAGGGCCGATGGACGTGGTAAGGCGCCGGTCGAGCGGAGGAAGGAAGTGAAGCGAGGTGAAGAGGGCGTGGAGAGGGCGGGAGAAAACGTAGAGAAGGCGGAGAGGAGGAGGTCACACGCAGAGGAGGAAATCAGGCAGACGGTCAGGGAAATGGAGACTCACTTGAGTCAGCCATGCTGATGAAGCCTCCAGCCAACAACAATCAATGCACAACTCGCAAGCCTTCGGCCATGATCAAGCCCAGCCGTCCAAGTTCCACAGAAGTAAAAATGCCTCGACCTCAGGCCATGTTATGTCCACATAGCACATATGACAATTCACATAGCACCAAGCTCACGGAGGAAGTAGCACCAAGCTCACTTACATAGCTGGGATTTACATTGCCGGTACCGATGCACATAAGACTTAGCACGCCGCAAGGACAACGCAGCACAAGCTCATGAATGCACGTAGCACGAATTTCACAAAGCACTGAGCACGTTGCATGTAGAGAGAGAGAGAGAGAGAGAGAGAGAGAGAGAGAGAGAGAGAGAGAGAGAGAGA